CCGCGCGCGCGACAAACTGGAACCCGCTTCGATCAGGAGACGTGTAAATTATGGAGCCGACGATAAAGATGAGACACAAGACCTGGATTCACGAGAGGAGGAGAGGGGAGAGGGGAAACTGAAACTGAAAGGCTCCGAGAGGATGTGGTTTCCACCTGAAACGCTGGCGGCTTGGCCCCAGCGCGCGCTGCACCGCAGCGCAACTTACGGCTCTTCGCCGATGGCAGGCTGCGCCAAGACAAAAACGTCACCTTTGGCGTGATGCGGCAAAGCAGTAGCGTGACCTTTGGCAGGCTGCGCCAAGACAAAAACGTTACCCTTGTCGCGATGCAGCAAAAAGAAGGAGCGCGACCTTCTGGCAGGCTGCGCCAGGACAAAACCGTTGCCTGTGGCTTAAGTGTCCATGTGGTTGAAATATCGGAACCATTTCTGCGCCACGGCGGCACTCCGCCGCGGCGCCACGCCAGCCCGCCCAGCATTTCGCGCGCTGCGGCACGGCGGTAGCGCGCAGAAGGAGGGCCCCGAAAACGGCCTCGATAGAGCCACGGCCGCCTCCGGCGGCGCGGCGGGGCGCGCGACCCCGCATGGGCCTGCGCCACGGCGGCCGCGGCCAGGCGCCCGCGGACGAGCTCCAAAGCGGCCTGGCCAAGCGCGGCCGCGGCGGGCGCGCCGGTCCCGGCGGCGCGCCTCGCGCGGCAATGCGCCAAGCACGCCGCCGCAGCGCAAACAGCTGCGCGCAGGACGCATTCAGCGGGCAGGCTCGAAGCCGAGGAGGCAAGGAGCAGGAAGTCAGAAAGAGGGGCCGTGGAGCGAGGGATGGCGAGGCCCGGCCCTGCCACGCGAAATCCCGCACCACTGAGCGAGCAGCATAATGTTCGATGGAACCCCCGTGAGCGCACCCGAACACGCATCGGGAGCCGCGCTGCTGAAAACGCCCGCCCGCGCACCATCCGTGGAACCACGGTCGCAGGAGCGTGGCTCTGACTCGCGGCGGGCCGGCCGTCCGGAGAGCGACCATGACCTGCTGCGCCCGCGGCGCCCGCCTGGCGGGCATCAGAAAAACGAAGTGCCAGCGCTCCAGCCGTCGCCGCCAGGAACGATCAGAAACCTCCAACACCGTCTCCTGCAGGATGCACAGACAGGTCCGCTGCCATAGCTTGCGCCGCTTGGTGGGGCGGTCGGCGTCGTCGAGCGCCACGTCGGCGACGCCCTCGATTCGCCCCCGCACCCGGGACGCGGTCCACCCACGAAGCTCGCAGTGCGTCACGGCGGCGCCCAGGTGCAAGATCGCCGTGTCGTTGAACCAGCAAGCCCAGGTCGCCTGGCGGAGTGGGAATTCGAAGTCTGCCATGGCCGCTCGTAGCTCGCGGGCCCGGCGCGCCGCCCGGACGCCGCCCGCGCTTCTCACTTCGCACCAGGCCACGCGAAAGCGGGCCGCAAGCGAGAGCGCCACGAGGTCCGGAACGCTGCCAGAAAACTTCATCGGACTCGGGTCTCGCAGGATGGACGGCGAGATCCACCCTCGCGGGCCAGGCAACAGACGGGCCACCGCCCAGCGCTCGACAGCGGGCCACTCTGGCGGGGCGGGGAGACGCTGCGCCACGAACCCAAGCACAGACACGAGGAATATTCTGGCCGCCGACAGAGCGCGAGCTGGAAGCCGCAGCCGACCCTACCCCACATGACGGCCCTCTCGTAAAATTTATGCAACGGTCTGAGCCAGTAGATGCACTCGCCATTGGGGCCGAGGGTGAAGCCGAGGTACCCCGCACCGCACGCAATCTTCACGGCGCCCCACTGGGGCGCGCGCGCGGCGATCGCGCCCCGGAGCTCGTTCGGAGCGACTTGGCGCAGGGGCGCGACGACCGACTTGCCCACGTCGAGCTCGAGGCGGGAGATCATCGCATACTCGCGGAAGAGCTCCTCCAGTTGCGGGGGGTCTCGGTGAAGGCGCGGCGCGACGAGGGCGAGATCGTCGGCGCGCGCCCTCGGGGTCGCGGCGGGGAGGAGCCGGCGGAGACGGCGGAGGAGGTCAGCGGCGATGGCGAAGAGCAACGGCGAGAGCGGGCACCCCTGTCGGACGCCCGACGAAATCGCGAAGCCTTCAAACCTGCGCCCGCCCACCACAATCCGGCAGATGTTGTCACGGCACAGGGCGGCAAGGAACCAGCACAGGCGCAGCGAGACGCCGATCCAATTCAGCAGCTCCATCATGAGTAACTAGTCGATCGACGGGAACACTGCCCGAAAATCGAAGAAGATGCACGCCCCGACATCCTGCGATAGCGCGGTGAGCCGCTCCTCCACGTCGATGTCGACTACGTTGGCCAGCAACGGACGTCCACCCACGAAGCCCCTTTGGATCTTGGAGACCCAATGCTGGAAGATGGCCTCCAGCCGGAAGCGGGCAGCACTTGCTAAGGTGCGATGATCGAAACTGACAACGTTGATCGGGCGCACCTTGCGCGCGTCGAAAAAATGCACGACGCCTCGTTGTAACGGGACTCTTTCTTCGGCATCAGATACAGGAGGGGAAGTTGAAGTCGGGGAGATGGCGGCGCCAGAGATCCTCGCCGCGGAGCCGGAGAGGCAAGGGAAGGCCGCGCGGAGGACGTCGATGCCGAGCTCGCCCAGCTGTCGGCAAGCCTCCGCGGGGATCCCGTCAGGGCCAGGGGCCGATGACCCAGGAGCAACGGATCGCCTTCCTGACGTCGTCGCGCCGCACCTGCCACAGAGGAGAACCCGAAGAAGGCAGGGGACCACGAACGGCAGGAGGCAGATCCCCTTCGAACCATCGTCGATGGAGAGCTCGATATGTCGACCCAGCAGTGAAGACCCTCTTCCAATGGCGGTTGAAATCCGCGGCCACGTCGGCGGGGAACGCGCGGACGACGCCGCGCTCGCCCCGGGTGGCCTGCACGAACTTGCCCCTTCCCGGCGAAGGGCGGGAGAGGAGGCGCAAGTTCTTCTACCGAGCGCGGCGCAATGCCTCTTGGAGAGCGTCGGGCGACTCTTCTCGCAGCCTCGCGGGCTCGGCGGTCGCGCGGGCGCGGGCCAGCTCGACCCGCGCGCGCGCGGACCGGGGGGGGGCCGCGCCCCGCTGCCAACGCGGAGTCGCACGGGTTGGAAACAAGGGAGCGTAGGTGCGGGCATCGCTCGATCGCAGCCGAATTCGCAGAGGTGCAGTGGGACTCGACAGCCCGGACGAGCGCCACGGTGTAGCCCATCTGTTCGTCGGGGGAGTCCGCACGGGCAGCGCGATGCACGGGGCCCTCGGTGTTTGCCACGTCGCGGATGGCCAAGCGCAGGAGGGCCAAGCGCTGCACGGCGTTCGCGGTGGAACTCTCCACGCAGAGGGTCTGGAAACGGAGGGCCACGGCCTGCGCCCAGCCTGGGCGACGGACCACATCGAGCGATTGGCGGGGGCGCCCGGCGTGCGAAAAACACGGGGCGGCGGTTGGAAATCCCGAGGTCCCAGTCGCCCACCCCGATCGTGATCTGGCGGTCGAGCAAATCGGCGGCTTCCATGCCTACGTAGAACCTGTCGAGCTGGGACCGCGTTTGGGCGGAGTCGCGCGTCATGCAAGGCTGGTGCACCTAGGAGAATGCAGGGAAGAGGCGAGTCAAGTAGGCCTCTTCCTGCCAATCCCGCTGGCCTGTGTAGGTCCCTGTGGATTTGCTGACGCGTTCCCTGTCCTCAGCGAACCATTGAAGTCGCCAGCGACGATGGGCAACGTCTGGCGCGCTGGGCGCGCGCCCCGGGCGATGGCAATTCGAAGACGGACACGTTGCTGGCGGAATCACCTCAGCTGCATGCTGGGAGCTCGCCCGGGCCTCTGACGGAGCAGCGAAGTCGGTGTAAGTGCCCGTCTGGGAGTAAGTCGCGATGAAATCCACGGCGCCAGACGGGCCCTCCAGGCGAAGGGCAGCCGCGCGGACTGGCTGCAGGATGACACACTCGCGGCGCGTGAACTGCTCAAGGAACGAAGCTTCGACCGCCACGCCGACCCCACCGCGACGCGCCGCCCCTGGGGCCCACCACGCCTCGGAGCCACGCGGGGCCGCAGCCAGCTGCAAGGGTCCCGCGGTGCCGCGGGGCTCCGTGATCATCACCGCGTCACGTTGGTGGAGTAGCCGTTCAAGGTTATCATATTTGCTGCTTTGCTGGATGGCGCCCTCAGCGAAGAGCGCCTTCGCGTTCCAGGTGCAGACCGAGAGATCGCCACGGGAGAGGCGGCCAGCGCAGGCTGCCCCCTGTGGAGACAGTCTGGTTGGAAGTGCACGCGCCGCAGGCGTCGTAACGTAGGTCGGCACTGCAATGCCCAATGCCCGGAGGAGGAGCGCACGCCGGCGCAGCGACAGCGGGGCGTCGCAGCGGCGGCGCGCGCGAAGAGCCTGCTCGCGCGGGGCGGGAAGAAGAAGTAAGGGTGGCAGGAAAGAATCAGCGGCGGCGGCATTCGAATTCACCTCGGCGCTAGCGCGGCCTCCGTGGCTCGCGGGCTGCAGGGAGTCCAGGAGGCACAGCGCGACGTCGAGCATGAGGAGCGTGCATCCTGAGCCGTCGATGGCCTAGGCCATGGCCCCGTCGGGAGGGAGTCATTGAGCGGAGCCGCCGCCCTGGACCTGGAGGCGGAACGTGTCCATCCGATTTTGATGGTCTTGTCGTGGAGAACTGCCTCAAACCGGGACACCTCCGAATGGTCCTTTAAGAACAATCGAGATCTGCCAGGCGGCGCCGATGGGCTCGTGCCCGAAAGCCATTTCCAAGTGCCGATTTTGTTGCCCGGGCCGTCGGACTGCTCGGTCAGCTGGAGGCCTGTCTGGGAGACCGGGTGGTCCATGAGAATGTGGACAAGGTTGTGCTCGTCGACGTGGAGCCGACCCGTGATCGACGTCCGCGGCGGCCAGGGCCGTCGACGAGGCCCCACGGGACGCCCTGGCACGGCGGGCGGGCGCGATCCGCGCGAGAAGCGCTGAGGGGGACGAGAAAGCGCGCCCTCCGTGACGCGAAGGCCGATGCTTCAGCTTGTAGACGGCAGTGTCCGGGTCGTTGCGCATAAGCGCGCCCAACGTCGCCTGCCACGCATCGGCTGCGGCCTCCGTCGCGAGGAGGAGCGGGGTTTTCCCGAGGAACAGAGCGGCCGAGCAGAGGTTCCAAATCGAAGCGATGGCGCCCGCGTGGCCGAGCTCTGCGATCAGGGCGCTGGGCTCGGCGAACAGGTCCTGGGAGGCGAAGCAAACGCCAGCGGGCGAGACGCGACGGACCTGGCGCATGCGCGGCTCCTGCTCCAGGCGCGGCGCGTGGATGCCGAAACGGATCTCCACCCTGCCCCGCGGGGTCTCCACGGAGTGCCCGGGACTGCGGTGAATGCTCCCGAATTGCGCCGATTGGGCCGGCAGCAGCGAACAACGCCTGCACGACCTCCAAGGCGAGGGCCGATGGGAAAGTCCACGACGTAGGTCGGGAGAGCCTCCAAGGTGAGGATGGGCGACTCCAACTCGCGCACCTGGCGGCGTCGTCGGGGAAGGACGGAGTAGACCGCGAAGATCGCCAAACCTCGGCGTTCGTGGCGGGGTCCAGAAGGCCCTGGGGAGACAAACTCCATGGGCTGCGGGTGGAACTCGACGTCTCGAATCATCGCCGCCCCATTCCTGCTCGGGAGATCGTGCCACCACAAGTCGCAGATCGCTTCGGTCGCGGCGCAGACCGGGTGGAGGTCCCAGGGGGCGATGAAGCGGATGCACTGGCACGGCGCCTCGGCCGCAGAGCGGCGTAGAAGCGAAGCCAGGAAGCGACCGAGCGCCGAGGCGCCCGCAGGAGCCCAGAGCGCAAGCGGTTCGCCGCTAGCCCTGACTGCATTCCAAAAGGAGGGGTCGCCCTTTTCCGCCATGTCGGCGAGAATGCGGGCCTCGCTCGCGGGCGCGATCCAGCCCTGCCACTGCGTGGTCGTCGGGATCGCGGCCGTGTCCAGGAGGGCGGGCCATTGGGCGCAGACGACCTCAGAGGCGCCAGGGGCGGCGTCGAGGACAGCGAGGAGGGCGCGGCGGCCGAGCTCGTGCCAGAGGGGGAGCTTTGATGGGCGAGCCCGCTGGCGCTCCCTGAGCCAGCCGTCGAAGGAGGCGAAGCAGGTCGCGGCCGCCTGGGTGATCTTCGCAATTTCCGCATGCGCCCCGGCCTTGTCGGCCGGCGACCATGGCGCGACGTCGAACATGGAGGCGAGGAGCTTGGCAAAACGGAGACGGGCCCCAATGGCGTTTAGGGAGAGGTCCGAGCCCTCTATCGGCGAGAGGCCGAGGATGCCCCACGCGGCGGCCACGGCAGGATTGCACGAGAGCGACTGCAAGGCCAGAGCTGGTCCGATCATCTGTAAATGTGTCAAGCTGGCGCTGACATGGGCAATGAGCTACGGGCTCGGAGTTCGCGGCGCGCCGCCACAGCTCGCAAGCAAGATGAGATCAGCGTTGCGACACGCGCGGCACCCGCCAGGTGCCAGCACCCCCTGCCTCTTCCTGGATGCCATCACGTTTGTATGGCAGCATGGCGACCGACCCTCAGATCGAGGCGTGCGTTGCGCCCGCAGTTCATTGAGCGGCGTGGTTATGCGATCGTGTCTTTACAGACATGGGAACAGCAGATCGTGTCTTGACAAAACAAAAAACATACCCCAAAAAAACGAAATTCCTTTCTAACCCTTGAAATTCCGTATTAAATTCCTTTCCAACTCCTTTTTCCTTCCTGGCCCAGACCTCTCGGCGTCGTAAAAAACAGAACAAAAAAAACAACCCCCAAAAAAACAACATCCTTTCTAACTCTTGAAATTCCTTATTGAATTCCTTTCTAACTCCTTTTTCCTTCCTGGCCCAGACCTCTCGGCGTCGTAAATAAAAAAACAAAACAAAAAAAAAACAACACAGAACAAAAAAAAACAAAATTCCTTTCTAACCCTTGAAATTCCTAATTAAATTCCTTTCTAACTCCTTGTTCCGTCCTGGCCCAAACCTCTCGGCGTCGCAAAAAAAAAAACGAAACGAAAAACAACCCCAAAAAACGAAAGTCCTTTCTAACTCTTGAAATTCTTTATTAAATCCCTTTCTAACTCATTTTTCCTTCCTGGCCCAGACCTCTCGGCGTCTTAAAAAAAGCAAAGCAAAACAAAAACAACCCCCAAAACGAAATTCCTTGCTTGCTAACTCTTGAATTTCCTTATCAAATTCCTTTCTAACTCGTTTTTTCCTTCCTGGCTCAGACCTCTCGGCGTCGTAAAAAAAACACCAAAACAACCCAAAAAACAAAATTCCTTTCTAACTCTTGAATTTCCTTATCGAATTCCTTTCTAACTCCTTTTTCCCTTCCTGGCCCTGGCTTCCTCGGGCAATTCGGACTCGATTGTCTTTGAGGTTCAGAACTATCTCTGGTATTCAAATTCCTTTCTAACTCAGGAAATTCCTTATCGAATTCCTTTCTAACTTCCCAACTCAATAGAAATGCATAACCAAAATGCTCTTGGCAATATTTCGAGCCTACATTATTAATTCCCGACACAATTATTGATGTAATTGCATACAGTGCGCACTGCAGAAATAATTCCGAAACCAATTAAAGCTGCACTGTAACCAAAAAAAATCAATGGTACTACGGCAGCATACCGCGGCAGCATGTTGGATGGCCTACTGGGGCCATGCTTTTGGCCCCCAGGGACCTCGAGTGGACATCGGTTTCGGGCAAACCCAAGAAAATCTAACTGGATGGGGGGCACGTTCGACCTCAGGAAAGACGCCTCATCGTCCAATAGTTTTGGCGAGGGCAGCTGGGATTCGTCGGCCTTGGGAACAGAGGGCCAGGAGGCCCAAGGTGTCTCGGGGGGGTGGCGCCGAAGGAGCCTATGGGGTCTTAGACGGAGCCGATCGTGAGGTTGCTCAAGGACGCCAACTCTCGCGATGACCCTGGAGGAGTACTTGGGGACCCAGTGGACTCTGAGCATGACCCAAGAAGAGCCCCGAGGATCGCTTGCCAGGACCTGGAAGCCCAGTCCACGTGAAGCTGACATTCGTCGAGCCATCGTCGGCGGCGGCATGTGGTCCCCAGATCGCACGTGTCGTTACGGCTACAGCGAAGCCGCGAAGTGCGCGAGATGCCCGTCTACACACTGCGATATTCATCACATCATGTGGGAGCGCGCCAGTCAGAAGCAAGAGACGCAGGCACACTAAGAGCAGGTTGACTTGAGAGGGCCCCCATGCGCGTGAGTCAGGAGCCCATATGTGGGACCAGGGTCCCATTGGAAAGTCCTGCTTCCCACCCCTCCCTCCTCGAGAGCTCACTGCCAAATGGCACGTCATGCGCGGGGCTCCGAACTCACCGCAGGCACGGCGTTCACTGACGGCGCGCGTCAGAAGGCCCGGCGTTGGCCAAGACGTTCGAGAGCTGGGCGGAGATTTGCGCGGGCGCAAAGAAATTCTATAGGAGCCGTTATTGTCGGCGCCCTTCCTGGCCTCATTCAGCCCCCCCGACAGCTAACCTTTACGCGACCCGTCAGGTGTGCAAGCATGCGATTTATCAATCCGTGTGTACATTGACTTTAAAGGGGCCTCGTCGACGGGCTCTTGCGGGGGCCCGAGCTCTGGCAGGCTCCGCGCCGGAACCTGGATCTCTGGGAGGCCAGTTGGACCGAGATCCAGGATCTAAGAGGTTTGAACGGTTCGTTTCGCGCAGAACACACCGAAGCCCACCGGCGCGGGCCTGGCGAGTTAGCGCGAGGACATCGGCGGGCGGACTTTGCGGCGACGAAGGGAATAGACACGAATGCTTCCCAAAAGTCCGCCCTTAAAGCAATGCAGGGCTACCCACCGTAAGCTTGCCCAGCGCTCGGGGTGGGCGGCCCTTGCCTCTTCCCAGCACGGTGAAACAGGCGGGCGTCGCACTCTCCCCAGGAAGCAGAAGGGATCGAGGCCAGCCCCAGACCGAGTCCCAGAGCCCCCCCGAGCCCTTTCCCTTGCACGAACTCAGGTACGTCTGTAGTGCAGTGCGGAATCGGAGCATCTGGAAATGTAGATTTTGCACGAAGGTCAGCGGGACTCGTGATCGACTCCCCTCGTTCCCCTGCCCTGCTCGCGCCACGGTCGGCAAGCCTAGGTTTGGAGCTAACCAACGTCCGCGGGCTGTCGCAGGGGGTCTCGCGCGACGAAGCCGCAGCCTCGAGCACTGCGGACGCGGGTGGAGGCCCTGCCGCCCCAACGCCCTCTCCCGCCTTCTCTCGGGCGGGGGCGGGCGCCAGTGAGCCCGAGGCCCCACCCCTCGCCAGCGCCCAAGACGCGAGGGGCGCCGGGGTGGATGCCAGCCCGCGCGAGCCAAGCGCAGACACCGACCCTGCCGACCTCCAACTCTCCTCCTCTTCGGCCTCCAGGCATCGATCGACTCGGTCTAGAGAGGCCTTCGGCGCAGCGGTGTGCGAGAGGGCTGCGGATTCCCAGATGTTATTTTCGGCTGTCGCCAATGTTCGCGACAGCCCCACGTCGCAGCCTCAGGCCCCGAATGCGAAGAGGAGACGGCTCGGCGCCGGAGTCAGAGGTAGGTCCTCCCTTACTCAGACCACTGCGCCAACCGCCCCGCGAGTTCGGGCCAATCCGTGACGGACACGCCCGAGGCCATCGGTTGCGGGTCTCATCGGGCCAGGTTGTCCTGCGCACCCACTGCTAGTGCTATACGAAAGGGCAGGCTGGCTGCCCTGTGATGGATTGTAGTTTTCCTGAGCAGCTCTCTGACCGAGCTGGTAGGAACAGAAGATTTTTCCTGACTGGCCCTCATCCCGCGAGAGCCCGCCTCCCGGCAGAAGCCTGGGCCCATGACTTACTTGCCAGCGATCCCGAGGTGTCCTGGGCCAGGCTTTAGGCCCGCTGTGGTTCCTGGGCTTCGCTTCGCGATACCTTCCAGCAAACTCCTTCTTGCGTCGCGCGCGCCCCCGCTTGCCACTTCAACTTCCACAACGAGTCGGGGGCGCGCAAACATGGATTAGCGATCCATGGATTTGGCGCGCGGTCGCCAAATCCATGGATCGGGGGAGGCGCCCTCCCCAAAATGCGGCCGACGCCGCCTCGTTCGGCGGCGGTTATCCGCGATTCCCCACGGAAACGGGAACCGTCGCTAAACCACGCCCCCTTAATCCATGTTTGCGATCGCCTGAGCTCTGCGAGACCTTCTCGAAAACTCGTTCCTGCGTCGCGCGCGCCCCCGCCTGCCGCCTCAACTTCCACGCCGAAGACCGCCCCGCCCTTGCTGCGCCGTGCCGCCGCGAACCCCACGGGCGGGTGGGAGAAGCATCGCTCGGCGCTTTGGGGGGGGCTCTGGGCCGCCCTCTCTGCTGTGCACGCCCTGCGCCTCGGGAGCACGACCGCATCTTCCTCCTCCATTTCTCTGCCTCACAAACAATTCCTCTCTGTCCCACCCCCAGACGTGTCGACGGGGCAAGCCAGGCGGCTCGCCTGCGATTTCCCCGCCATCTGCGATGATCCTGAAGCTTGAGATGACCGACAACTTCAGGGATGGGTCTTCAATGTGTAGCTCTCGCCTCAGCGCCGCGCACATTCGCCTTTGAAGTTTGCAACGGGTTCAAGGATGGAGAGGGGTTGGTTTTGAAAATGCAGTTCTCGCCTCTAGCGCCACGCACATTCGTCTAGAAAAGTTTGCAACCGCTTCAAGGATGGAGCGCGGCTGGTTTTCAAAATGCGGTTCTCGCCTGGGCGCCGCGCACATTCGCCTTGCAGGTCTAAAGAATAAGGGCGATGAGGTGCCAGGAATAACGTTCTGCCACGGGTTAGGGCTGCCGAGACACAACGTTCACTTTGATTTGCGGTGCTGCAATTCCGAGAGTGGCAGCAGTCACGGGGAATCGCGGCATGAAATCACAGAAAGCGTGTTTTGGCAGGATTAGGGATTCTGAAACGGCTGTCATTCAATGGGGCAGTTCTCGCAAGTGAGATAAATCATTGCAGGGGCCAGTGGAGAGGGAACTTGTAAGAATTGCTTATTTGCAACATCATTGATGCGTACTGTGCTTAACCTGGTCCGCCTCCTCCTCCTCCTCGGCTCTCCCGCCTCCACGAGGCCAGATCCCCGCTGCAGAAGGGAATAAGAGGAGGAGGAGCAGCAGCAGCAGAAATGGCATGAAATGATAACCCTGGGGTGTCTGAAGCTCCTCATTTCAAAAGTCAGCACGTAGACACATGAATGGTAGACTGGCCGCACCTGATCGTCCGACTCGAAGAGGCGGCACAACCTACCCGCTTTTTGACCACCCTCGTTTCCAAATGGGTTTGAAACAATACCAACTTGCTCGCGGGGAGCGTTACCGTGACCTCGTGCGCCAGCAAAAGGTCCGCAGGCCGCCGATCTTCCCCAAACTCCAGCCCGCCTTACGCCCCTTCGCACTGCCGAGCCCCGAACTCGCAAACGTTATCCTGAACGACGCCAAATATCGAACCAGACGACGCTTTGGTAGAATACCGGAAAACTTTGTATAACATCAAAGGTTCCCAGTATAATACCAAGTGCCTTTCGGCCTGGCCCGCATGCGTAAAATAACAATGCAAACACGAGTTCGATATGATACCAAGCGCGCGTGGTAGAATACAAAGTGTTCCACCTGTTTTGCCAAAACAATCCCAGCACGACTCCAGCACATCCCATTCCAGTACGACTCGAGTGTTCCAAGCACGGTGCACGACTCATCCTGGCACGATGGCAAGCACATCGTTTTGGAACGGCATCTGGAGATCCCATGGCCTGGCGGTGAGATGCGGGGGGGGGGGGGGAGCGGGGGACGCGCGCGCTGCCAGACGAGAAAACTCCTCCACCGAGGCTCTGCGGGCGGGGAACGCTCGGGCCACGCCACGCCCAGGCAGAGGATGTTTTGAGCCTAACGCCCGCACAGCCTTGGTGAACACGGCAGCGGCGGCTGGGAGAGCGCTGCTGGCAAAGGGGGAGCAGGCCGATGGGGGACGGGGGAGCCCGCGGGGCTCCGTTTGGCGGCGCGCACAAGGGGGTGGGGGGAGGGGGGAGGGCTTCTTGGAAGCAGGCTGCTTCTTAGAAGGCGCCAGCCTTACATCTATACAGAAGGCCCGTGGCTTCTAAGAAGCAGGGGTGCTTCTAGGAAGCCCTCCCCCCTCCCCCCCCCTCTGCGCGTGGCTAATCCGTGGAGTCGTGCGGCCCGCGGCTCCTGGAGACCACTGCGACAAACTTGCCGCGCGGGGCAGGAGCGGCGCGCGCGGGATCCCTCCTCGGCAGGCCGACGGGGGAGGGGGATTCCCGCGGGGCTCGGCGGAGTCGTGCGGCCCGAGGCTCTGGAGACCACTGCGAAAAAGTTGCCGCGCGGGGCAGAAACCAGACATCCGGCCGCCCCATTTGTGTTCGATGCGTGGGTCCCGGAAGTCCAAACCACTTCCCCGGGGCCGGTTTATCGTCCTGGGTCGTTCGCTGACGCTCCCGAGGCCCGGTGAGGGCCCCCGGAGGCCGAAAACTGCCAAAATCCTGCCGCTCCACTCTTTTCGGAGCGTCGGATCTCTGGGGAGGCGGCGCCCTGGGCCCGCGGGGCGCGGGGCGCGGGCGCTCTCAGAGGATAGGGGCGCGCGGCGGGCGGCGGGGGGGCGTCGACGGAGAGAGGCAGCGGCGCCGCCTGCCCGCGACCCCTGCGGGGCGGGGCCCGCCGAGCGTGGGCGAGGCTTCTCCTCCTCCTCCTCCTCCTCCTCCTCCTCCTCCTCCTCCTCCTCCTCCTCCTGCTCCTCCTCCTCCTCCTCCTCCGCTCCCTCCTCCTCCTCCTCCTCCTCTCCTCCTCCTCCTCCTCCTCCTCCTCCTCCTCCTCCTCCTCCTCCTCCTCCTCCTCCTCCTCCTCCTCCTCCTCCTCCTCCTCCTCCTCCTCCTCCTCCTCCTCCTCCTCCTCCTCCTCCTCCTCCTCCTCCTCCTCTCCTCCTCCTCCTCCCCTCCTCCTCCTCCCTTCCCTCCTCCTCCCTCCTCCTCCTCCTCCTCTCCTCCCCCTCCCCCTCCCCCTCCCCCTCCTCCTCTTGTTCCTTCTCCTCCTCCTCCCCCTACCCCTCCTCCTCGGGGGGCCCTGAGATCCTCTGTAGGAGGCAACTGCTGAGGAGGTTTCCGTCGGAAGGATCAGGAAGGATTCGGCCCCCTTGGGGGCCTGCTACGCCGGACGAGGCCGCGCATCAAGCGGGATCAAGCCACATCAAGCGGGATTGAGCCGGATTGAGCGGATTGAGCTGGGGAGTTCGCTGGATTTCGGACCAGGGCGCAAATTCAGAGTTTGATGCCCCAGGAGTTGCATCCGAGGATCCCGACCTCGCAATTGTTTCGCAGCGGGCGACGTCGCCCTGCTTCGGACCATGTGGCCCTCACGGATCGATGCAGCTCGACAGATGCCGCAGGGAGAAACGGTGTCTAAGGTTTCGGTTGATGTTTTCCCCTTTTCGCGACGTCGGATCCCAGGGGAGGAGGACAGCAGATGGAGCAGAATGCCGTGCTTTGCGAAACTCAGGGGGGTGTTGATACAGTCGTCGTGCTGCCACCAGGAACGCCAAATAGGGAACGAATGGGCCTTCTGTGGTTATGGCAAACCTCCACGAGGAGGTTCCCCGACCTAGACCAAGGAAGGACCTTAAAACAGAAGTCCATCGTGAGCCCAAGGTGGTCCTCATTTCAGCGTCTTGCTGATACCCCCCCGCCCTGCCCCTCCCAATAACAATATTGATATCACGACGAACGGCTACTTCGGGGCACGAATCTGTCTGTCCGCTCAAGCCCCTTCGCCACCACGCCGCCCAATGATAGAACGGGGGTCACGGGGGAAGGTACTGCACCGCGAAATACGATTTCAATGTCCGTGCACGGGAGGAGCACAGCCAAACAGGCCATAAGGAAGGACAACAAGGACGCAGGGACCCTGGAAGCCCGTACAATGGGTAGCCTGACCGACCACCGTCTTCACCAAATGTGCGTCGGGACCAGCAGCAAGAACGCTGGTCTGCGTGATCTGCATCGGCGCCGTCACTGGCCGTGCCGTCGTCGATGTCAGCATCGTCACCAATCATCGTGTCTACCGTCGTCGACGTTGCCATGATATCGCGACCCCCCAAGTCGCCGACTCGCACTGAAGTGCCCGCTGGGATGTTCCGAGCAGTCAGCGCCACCGCGGCCGCGGTGTTCGCGCCAAACTCGCTGGCCGGTGCGCGCGCGTGCATGTGCTGGCTGGCGCGGCCGCAGAGATGCACCAGCCAGCACCAAGCACTCATCGCGATCGCCGCCGCATGGGGTTTCCCAACAAAGTTTCGGGTGGGTTGGTGGGATGTTTGCGCGAGCATTGGAGTAGACAACTCATTGCGAACAGAAATCCCACCAGTCCGCTGGGCGACAGGTGGTCTAACGATGTCTTTATTTCCTCTTCCACAATCCATTCTTCCCGCTCGGGGAAGGTTTTACCCCTCCCCCTATCCTCTCCCCTGGACCGGGCGCCCCGCGATGTGTCAGAGGGTCCTTTTTCGCACCAGATGGCTCCGAGAGGGCCTCAGAGAGCCCAAAATGGCCTCCAAAATCGCTCAAGATGGCCCAACATGGCTCAAGACAGTTTCTGGCATGCCTCCAAGACGCCCCAAGAGGGCCACAAGACGGTTAAAGGTGCTCTTGGAGACCCCTCAGGACCCCTCCAAGAGCCTAAAATCAGTCAAAAACCTTGGGAAAATCGGTGATGTTTGCCTTCTCGCCTTTTCGCTTCCGATGCGCTTTTGAGGCCTCAACATGGCCCCAAGATGGTTCAAGAAAGCTCCAAGAGGGGTCCAAGAAGTCCCCAAGACGGCCCCAAGAGCGCCCAAGATCGCCCCAAGAGCGCCCCAAGAGCGCCCCACGAGGCGATTTTGATGGCCCCGGAGGGGGAGGCAAATTTAGGACCCCTCCTCCTGTGATCGATGGTCTCCAAGACGGCCCTAAGAGGCGCCGCAGGGCTCCAAAGAGAGCCCCAAGACAGCCCCTCTTGAGCCCCAAGAGGGTCCCGGGTCCCAGAGGGCCCCAAGAAGGCCCCAAGAGGCCCCCGAGCGGCCTCAGAAAGCCCAAGATGACCTCCAAGATGGCTCAGATAGCCCAAGCTGGCTCAAGATGGTTCCCAAGATGCTCCAAGCGGCCCCAAGACCGCTCCAAGAGCGCCCAGGAGCGCTCCAAGAGAGCCCCAGAAGAGGTTTGCGGGCTACTGAGGGGGGAGCTGAGTTGGGGACCCCCCCCATCCTGTAATCGATGGCCTCCAAGATGATCCCAACAGGGTTCCAAGAGGGCCCCAAAAACTCCAAGAGAGCACCGGCAGCAGCAGCAGCAGCCGCACGAATACCTCTAGATGGTTCCATGACTCCTCGTCCGCGTCGTCCTCATCCTAGTCCTAGTCCTCCTCGTCCTCGTCCTCCTCCGCGTCCTCGTCCTCCTAGTCCTCCTCGTCCTCATCCTCCTCCTCATCCTCCTCCTCCTCCACCTCCTCCTCTTCCCCTCGCCCCCACGCGGCCCCCAGGGATGGCCCGAAGAGGCCTTCCAAGGCCACCCCCTTGCTCCGAGAGATCTCTCGTTTCACCCTGGTTGTTCGCTTTGTTTCCCTAGATGTGTCTCTTCGTCCCTTTTCCCGTCAGCTCTCATGGGCAGGGTTTCTGAATGGGCTGGTGGAGATACTTTTTAGTCAGCGGCCGCGGGCGAGCGCGCCGGCGGCGAGTCCAGTCAAAGCGGGGCACGCAGCGACGAATTAACCTAAGGCGACGGAGGGAGGCTACACCTACAGCGGCAACCCGAGCCCTCACGCAGCAGCCCAGCGGCGGACCGGCGGGTGGGGGGACAGCTGAAACGGAGTCGAACTGCCGCTGGTGGGGATACGCGGAGCGTGAAGAACTCATTGCACAACATAGGTTGCACCACATATTGCACCACGTATATTGCACCACACGGATTGCAACACATTGACTGCACAACACATTTTGCACCACATGTAAATTGCACCGCATATATTGCACAACCTAGATCGCACCACATACATTTCACCATATAGCTTGCACCATATAGGTTGCGGTTGCACCACATATATTGTATCACAAATGTTGTTCTATCGATGTTGCCCAACATAGTTTGCACGACATAGTGTGCAAAACCTACAATGTCACACGTGGATGGAATCACATAAATCGCACCAAATACGTTGCACGATATACGCAGTTACATATCATACCGCATACAATGCACCCCATGGGTTGCACCACCAAAAATGGCACACATCTATATATATATATATATATACTAGAACCACGCGCGCGCTTCGCGCGCGCTTAGGTTCTAGCGCAGTCCTAGCCAACCTCATAAGATCGGATGAGGATGCACATCATCTGGCAAGGGTCACCATATGGGAGCGTACTTCCTGGTGGGGAGACGCTGAATAAGCGCGCCAGGAAGTTGCGCAAGGCGTCCAGAAGCAGGACACAGGGCAGGCTCAGGCGGATGCCCGAGAACCCTTGAGAGCCTGGCAAGACCATGCTGGGAGTATCGTTGGATGCCTTTGGGGGACGCTCTTGAAGGCTCTTTTTTTTAAGACTTCGCAAGAGCGCAAGCGCAAACTGGGCAGAAATGCGGGAACCGTGTCCCCAAAGGAAATGAAGCGAAGCTTCCTCGCGCCCATAGTTGCTTCCAACGCCGAAAGCTAGAAGCAGAGGGTAGACAAATGGAGCGGAGCTTCCTCGCGCCCAGCGGAACTTCAAGCTCAAAGTAATTATAAAACGAGGGGGATGCCCAGGCCCCCGTGGGCCCCCAGAACATTGGGCTCCGTTTTGCGCTCCAGGCGGCGCCACAGCACCGCTTCCCTCGGATGCGCCCCCAAAGTTCTTCTTGGGGCCCCGGGCCAGAAGATTCAGCTACGGGCGGCGCTTGCTTTGAGCGCCACCGGGGCCCGAGGCCCAGGCTCTCGCGGCGCTCGGTCATCGGCCGCGCCCCGGCAGAGTGCCCTGGGGCTGATCAGGACTGCGAGGCCATGATCGGGGCGCGCTGGCCCCCCCCCGCGGCCTCGTTCGCGGAGATATCCACCGGCACGGAGGGGGCGCCACAGCGCCTGAAGGCCAACGCGGCACCTGCGAGCACCGCGGCTCCCCCGATCGCTCCCAGGCCGATCGTCGCAACGCTCGCGAGAGACCGCTGCCCTGCCAACGGCAGGCCGTCCATCACGGAATACAGCCTGGTTTTCTGGGTTTCATGATTCCAGTCGCCGAGGGCGCACTTCTCCTCGCCGCCCTTGCAGTGGGGGCACTCCTTGTACAGGTCGCCGAGCGCCTGCTCACAGATCATGTCTTTCACTGCATCTGGGTCGTTGGAATCGGACGCGACGACCTCCTTGGCCTCCTTCCCATCGCGGGCGTTCGATATCTCCGCGACCCTATCCATGAACCAGAGGCAACAATTATCCGATTCGCCGCACCTCGAGTTCTCATCAACTTCCCGCCAGCATCCGATGTCACAGCTGACGGGGCCGACAGAATCCCAGTAGCTGAACATATGTCCGCACCCGGCGGGGACAGCGGTGGCCTGCAGGAATGCGGCGGCCGCGAGCACCAGGCGGGCCATCGCTGTTGGGGTTTCGGGCCGATTGAAGCAAAGAAGCCGCTGCCTGTGCCGGCGGGGG